TGAACATTTGTAACTCTGGTGGGAAAATATGTTCCCAGCCTGGGGCAAACAACCTTTGAAGCTGAAATCAGTCAAAGGGAGAAATAAAATGGGAGAAACCTGGTGATTGCCTACAAGCAGTCGTCTACTTCTGCTTGCCCATGTCTCTCACAACTTGGCTGCAAAAAGACCCCACCAACACCCCTCCAGTCCAGATATATACATTTTCTTTCACCCCCTTTGTAATCACCTACTGATATGGAGATGGACTACTTATCTCCACCCCCTGGAAACACCTATAGATATGGAGATGCACTAAAGCCAGGTGAGAGATTCTGGAAATATTGAAATTCTACTCACAAATGTTACCATGGTAAAGTGTCTAGATTTTGTTGCATTCTATAAAGAGTGTTGAAGTTTGTTTGGAAGGCATTTAAAATGCTACTGTAGGTCAGCTTTATACTATTGAGGCTTATTTTTGAGCTCTGGTAGGGCAATTCTAGGATAATGTTACTCTATGTCTGGTTTACATGTATTAATAAGGTATTATGCTTCTGGGGTATGTCCTTAGACCTGCATGTCCAGCAGGATCCCTACAGTACAGCTGATCAGAATTCATTTATCACCAAACTTGATTTGGGTTCTGGGAATCATTCCATTTATATCTCTTGGGCATTTATTCTTTGCTGACCTTATATCTTCTGTGTGCCCACATGTTTAGCCACCTCAGCTTTCCTGGATGCCAGTTTCCATCTCTTTAACTCAGTGAGACTTCAGGGCTCTGCTTACATTGTGGTTCAAAATACACTTTCAGGAAGAAAGTCAGACAACTATGTGGCTCATTTTCTTTCCTGTTTTTTTTTCTTTTTCTCGGAAATCATGGTCTGGTCATGTCTGTTTTCCACTGTCTAAAAATTGCTGTTCTCCTATTTTGTTTAATTTTCTATCCATTTGCATTTGTAAGTCCAGTATCATTTACTCTATTGTGTCCCTCTTCATAAGCAAGCAGTGAGGAAAAGTCTCGATTTCCCTCTACTTCAGAATAAAATAGGTGCTTTGAATGACATGCAGGGCATCATTTATTTGGAACCATTTTGCAAGATTTTGAATTTTCCTTTAAAACTATACCACATTCATCATTTTGGAATTATAGTAGTGGGATTTAAAAAAATATTCTGTCACATTTGAAACCAATATTTTCCAAACATTCCATACAGAAAAATTCTGTTTCAGTGGTTAAAGGGTAGTGTTCAACAGTCTGTGTATTTAATGAATATCCAAGTACTCTGACACAGGTTTCTCTAGCACACATTTTGTGGAAAATGATTCTAAATCTCTGAAGAGCCTCAAAGCTGTCCTTTGACTCCATAGTAGCACCTCCTTTACGCCATCCTTGAAAGAAGACACATACAGTTCAATGCCAAATGCTTTGTGTAAGGTGATAGGTAGATAAAAACAGCAATAAGAGTGGTTGATGATCACCAGTGTACATTCTCAGGTTGTCAGGTTTGAATCCAGGCTTCTCTGTTATTAGATGTGTCAAAGGGAATAGGCAGTGTAATCTTCCTGAACGGGTCTCATCTGTAAAATGAGCACAAAAATGGCATTAAGTTGTTACAAATCTCAAACTAGATAAAAGTATGTGCAGGATATTCCCTGTTACAGCAACCAAGAGGGAACTGATCATCGGTGGCCTAACTTCCTGAAATCGTCTGTTACCCCTAACAAGGTAAGTGTCCCTGTTATTGCTGCCTTTGTACCTTGAGCATCTAGCCATGTGGGTGGCAGCATCGGTGCACCGGAGCCTGTGAGGGGTTCCCTGGAACCATGTGACATTGCATCTACTCACACCGACAACGAAGACTGTTAATTTATCTGTGAACTGCAAACTTCTAGAGACCCATCTTTCATCTCTGTATTCTCAGTGCCTGAAACAATTTAAGGCATGTTGTCCAAAATAATTTAGGGACTTATTTTTACTTTAAAATAGATGAATGAATGAAGATTATGTGAAAACATGGACACCTCAGACCCTCTTGTTGTTCCTGCTGTTCGTATTTCCCCCTTTTTCTTTGTCTTCATCTTCACCTTTGGCTTTTCTTCTTCTGCGATGTATATTTTAGTAAGCTGCACCCCTGTTGCACTCCTGACCTCTCTTTCTAGGCACAAGCTTTGAGCAGGTCAGGCAATAGATACTCACAGGGCTTTCAAAACCCTTTGAAGCTCAAGTGGATGTTTACATGTCAGGGCAACTTGACACTGAAGCCTCTACTTTGAATGTTCCACCAGTGGGAGGAGGAAAGGTCATCTCAGGGCGTTCTCTTAGAGTTACAGTTGCACCAAGATATGAACCTGTGAAAGGACAGGACAAGACTCTGTATTGTTCATTGTTAGAGTCCCACATTCCTGGCACACAGTAACCATTCAGTAAATATTTGATGGGTAATTTTTTTTTGCATTTTTCTTTATGCTATTAATACTTTTTTGAATCTCTCTCTTTTCAGTGCCCTATAGGGCTGGCCTTTCTAGTGCACCTTAGTGTAATTTTAAAGTGTCCAGAGTGCAAATTTCATTCGTACTTTCGAAGTCAACCATTATTAATTGATTCCCTGCTATAGAATGAATATGTTTGTATCCCTTCAAAAATCATATGTTGAAACTTACTCCCCACTGTGATGGCATTTGGATGTGGGGCCTTTGGGAGGTGATTTGCATGAGCTGGAGCTCCTCATGAATGGATTCATGTCCTTATAAAAGCCAGAAAGTGACCTTGCCTCCTCTGCCTTGTGAGGACACAGAAGATGGCAGCCATCCAGCAAGGAGGTGGACCCTCACCATTCACTGGATTTTGGACTTTCCAGCCTCCGGAACAGTGAAAAGGAAATTTCTGTTCATCACCCATGCAGTCTATAGTGATCTGTTATAGCATCCCAGATTGACTAAGATAACCCTTAAAAGATCCTTCTTGGGGTTGGTTATTAGCTCTGCTTGCATCTCTCTTACTGATGCATCCCAGGATTCAGTGTGATGCCAGAATTTCACCTCCCTCTATCCATGCTGTTTGGGCTATTAACATTATTCTAATCACATGAACAATTTTTTACCTGTGATCTCTTCTCTCCTGCCCAAGCCTCTGCTTACAGCTATCGCCTGGGTAGATTTACCTGGAATCCTGCAGGCACCTCAGATTCAGCCCGTCCACTGGGAAATACCTCCAGAGCATATTGTCCATTCCTTTCAGCAGTTGTCAAAGATCAAGAATACTTTAGCCACAAGCAAATGCTTTCTCTTAAATGTATCTCTTACAATGTATTGGAAAATATTTATATATGCCTAACTATCAATTTGCTAATAGAGTTCCTTTGGAAGAGGGAATTGAATAACTGGGGGTAGGGTGGGAAGAACATTTACTTTTCACGGTGTACCTTTTGATAACTTTTAAAATTTTATGCCACACACGTGTATATCTATTGAAACAATAATAATGAAAAGTGTAATGAAAGAAGATGGGAAATGTTTACTATAAAAATTCACTTTCCAAAAACTATCGCTTGGGAACTCACGCCGAAGGAAGTGCCCCATTCTCTTTTAAGGTATGCTTTGCTGAAAGCAGCAGAGAAGATGGGATAATTTATTCATGGGTACATGCTCCTTTTCAACAAGCCTGTTCAAAGGCAGTAGTATTGTTTCCAGTTCTTCAGAAAACAAATTCAAAGGTGTCTGAAGTTTAAGCATTTATTCACTCATTCAAAAACATTTCTGAGTTCCAGGGATGGTGTTAAGACCTGATGACACAAAGGCAAATACCTCAAGGTTCCTGGGCTCAAAGTGCTTCTGAGTCTAGAGATCATGGAATGATTTGCTTACTGAGCAGAGAATATCTAGGGCATCTGGCCTCAGCATGAGGATGGAAGGTTTAGGCTCTCAGGAATCACTTTCTGAGAAACGGAGGTCTGTCCTCACTCCGCAGATTGAACCGAAGAAACCTCAGTTCGACCTTGGGAGAGGAGCAGGCAAAGGAGAGGAAGGGGAGCAAATGGGAGCAAAGACCTTGAGATGAGGAATGGCAGAACGTAAACCAGGGAGTGACAAGTGATTTTTGAGTCATCAGCACAAAGTACGAGGTAGCTACTGATGATTTTAGCTACTTCATCTTCTTTAATTCCGTAATTCAGGCTGTGTATCTGTTTGAACCAGGGAGTGTTTTCTGTCCCTAGCATTCCCTATTTCCTGGTAAGTTTTAGTTTACCTTTTTGCACTGCCTAGAATTGTACCCATTGGTGTAAGGCTTCCACACCTTTCGGTAGACCCAGGAAGCCTCTGAAATGTGGCTTTTCATTCTAGGCAAAATGTAAGTGTTCTTAAAAATTCCTGTCCTATGGCAACAAAACCTGTCCCTGCATTTCACACATTGCTTAGGAACTTGAGACATAATACAAAGTAGTGGTCATTTAAATACCATACCGCTTTCTAGCGCAGCCCATACAATTCCAGCGATGGAATTGGTATTTGGAAAAATTTCAAAGACCTTATATAGAATCCCCAAAATAAGATTAACCAAATTTACCATAATTTATCAAAGCGAGTGTTCTGAATCTGCAAGTTGAAGGGTGAACCCGAAATTAAACACTTAGCTGGTAATGCTTTAGGTCATGAATCTTTTATATGACAACAACTAGAATAACTGGAAATGCAAGTGCAGACCAGTTAAAAGACTTGTTTGACACCCAGTCTTAGGAAGCAATCGCGGCTGTGAAGGGTGGCTATCAGTAATGTTCTTACACACTGCCACCTACTGGACGTTTGTTAGAAACGCTGTGCCCAGTGTTAAATTAGAACTCCCAACATTTTCTGTATTTCTGTCTGACCTCATTCATCTCTTTCTATCCTTTCCATCAAATCAGTCATGACTGGAAGCTAAGGGAATAGGAAAACGTAGCAGCATTTTTCTTATAATATGTGTTTTATTTGTTGTCACTCTTAGTTTTAAATTGTCGACGTTTTTCTTATCTTCTCACTAGATGGCAGAGTTGCTAAGAGGTTTGGACTGAGACCCATCTGATTTGACCACAACTCTGCCACCTGCCAAGAATACGATTTTAGGTAAGTTGCTCAATCCTTCTAAACCTCTGTTTACTCATCTATAATTTCTGAACATTAGAGCTAAGCCATGTAAATCTCTAGTATGTAGTATATATTTAAGAAAATTATAGTTGTTTATACAAACAATGGTAGTTATAAACATAAGGACAGTGGGTTGGAGGTTTAAATCAACTTTTATTGAGCAATATATTTAGGATCTTAGCCTAGGTTCCTTAGATTGTTGTTGTTTTTTTAATCCTTCTGCAGCATCCACACACAGCTATAAAGGAAAGCACTGTCTGGGGAGCAAGGGGGAGAAAGTGCTGAAGAAGCATCTCTGAAGCAGCTACGACGTGTGAGAAGCCTGTTAGTGCTTCTTAAAGACCTTAGGCTGACATCCTTTCTGGGAACTATATACGGGGAACTGACAGACAACATTTTGCTCAGGGCAAAAAGAGAACTTTTCTTCACCCTATGCCCAGAGAACACTCAGCTCCAACACTAGGGAGAGCTGTGTTTTCTGTTCCTTGTTTAAACAAAGAAATGATTGAGTGTTATCTTTAAACAGTAACTCTACCTCCTTCTCCAATTTCAATGACAAACGGCCAGCCAACCTGAAAGGACAATGTGTAAGTATTAAAACTGTTTGCCCGTGTTTTTGTAAGAGGAGTGGCTTCTCTATTTCTGCAAGGGCATGCCTGCTGCAATGTTCTTAAAGCCCTTTAGCATCACTTTTGACACTAGCTGCTGTCGGGTTTTTAGTTTCTAATATCTAGATGTCATACCTCCTGTTATCTATCAAAAACTCAGCTGATCAGAGGCACTGGTGATGAAAGTTTGTGTGAGGCAGGTCCTGGCACAAAGAGATGGCAAAACCTGAGAGTGGACAGAAGCATAAAGCAACACTACAGTGTTCGCACATTCAGGCTTCCTAGAACGAAGATCTTAGCACACTTGCCCCAGTAGTTACTAAAAGGATTCTGCTCATAGACGTGCTGTGAGGTGCTCAGGATGACTTGACCAGCCTGGTCATCAGCTTTGAATGCAAAAGATCTTTAAATCTCTGTCTGGATAGTCTTATTATTTTTATATAGGAATCTTCATCCTTGACATTATCTCCCCTATTTTAAAATTCATAAGTGGGTCCAAACACTAGAAGCATTAAAAGATCAGAATTGTTCTAAAAAGATGACTTTTAGGATCATTTATTTGAGATAATACATGATTGTAATGATGGAGGGACAGTTTGTTATAGCATCTGGCTCGCGGTGGTGGGTGATGGCTGGTGATAACAGAGTAGCTTCATCCTTGGACAAGGTGCGGTACATACAGTCTAAAAATGAGCATCAACAGTCCATAGATACTGAAAGAGAAAATTAGTTAATAAGTTTATCCATACTAACCATCTTGAGGGAGATAATGAACATGGTTATTTCACCTGCAGAGGAAATGGTATGACTACCAAAGATGAGATTTAGAGAATTTGCAGTGGTTAACAAACTGATGAGTCATAAGGAGGGCTGGCTTGAATTCAGAAGAGGTAAAAAGTGGGAAGGTATGTAGGGAAAGGGGGTGAAAGCTGAAAACCCTAAATTGGGAGCCAAAATGAAACGCAGTATGAAATGACAGTCTCTTCTTGGTAATATCTTTTTCAGAAGGTAGATATATCTTAATTTGGATTGCTTTGATTGTCCAATTTTTGTAGAATTATATTTCTTACTGCCATTGGGTGGACATTTTTGGGGTACCTCATTTTCTCAACCACAAAATGGGATGATAGTACCTACGTCACACAGTTGTGAGAATAAATTAAATCGTATAAGGAAAAGCCCCTTGTAAATTGTGGAATCTTTTCCTTGGCTTTAAAATCTTCTATCTAATAAACGTAGCTTATCATGGGATGCTAAAAAATAATCATGGTACAGATAAACCATTGACACTGCATTACTCTATTTTATTCATATTCCTGAAAGAGTGGATTGTGTTAACAGTCTGAGTATTTTTAATTATTCACTGTGACTTCATACAGAGCAATGTCTGACTTTCTATCATGAGGTGTAACAGGGAATAATAGAAATGATTATTTCTCATTATTTAGTGTTGCCCATTCAATGATGTATCAATATCTAGAATACATCCTCGCAGAGATATGATGAGTTACAAAATGGGGAAAAAAAGGATTTACAGTTCACTTAAAAAAAAAGCAGTCTCCTCTTGATTGGACTGTGAGGGACATATCTTTAATTACTACATCCTTTCTTTTCTTTACAATAAAATAATCAGAAAATCAGAATATTCTGGAAAGCAAGTATTACATAAAATAAATGTAAGGTTAGAATTAAGCATAAGCAAATCAAGCATTATAAGTATCAGGCTTAGTTTTTGGCCCCTGGCAATGATGATGTAGAACAAAATGTGAATGTCACAGTAAAGACCACCGGGCAGTGAGTCAGGACAAGACGCAGGTTGTAGTCACTGCCTGGCTGTGCCCTCGGCTACCCCGCCTCCCCTGCCTGTCCTCGTTTACCTTATCTGCTAAGCAAGGAGATTTCACTGAATCATCTCTAAGGCAAAGGCCCTAAAATTGAACGCCTCTCCGATGGACCCAGTTTCAATGAAATAGATCATGACAAAATTTTATGATTCTAAACTGTCATCCATATTCCCTTTAAAATGACAGCGAAAGAGAAATAAAATTAAAGCTACAATGAAATGGCACTTTTCACATCCTGGTATTCGAACTATAAAGAACTTTGGCTGATATTACAGTGCTTGGGTGATGGCAAAGGGGAAGGGTGGGCTCACATACTACTGCTGAGAGGGGAAATTCATCTTTGGGGGCACGTTGGCAGCCTTAGTGTAAGTGCAGAAATAGGATTATCATTGGAGACAGCATTTCTACTTTTCGTGAGTGCAAAGATTGTACAAACGTTTGACACACACAGCTAAGATGTGTATCAGTAGAGGACTGGTTACCTATAGTATTAGTTGCCCACATAAGGGAATCCCACTCAGCCATCTGAAAGGCCCAAGTATCTCTATATGAACGCACACGGAAAACCTCACACGTAAATGAAGTGAACAGAGCAACTGGTAACAACACTGCACTACTCTTGCGAAACCAGGTCATACGCTGGTGTCCAGGGGATACCTACAGACCAGTCAGCACAGGTGTTGGCCCGTAGGGCAGCTGCACAAACACTTGCTTGAGCAGTCCCGCTGATGTGCTCTCCATCCCAGAGGCAATGGGGGGACTGAATTCAGGGGTTGCCTCTGGGACTCGGGCCTACGTGACAAGGTGTGGAGCGGAGACCTACTTCTCTACTGTTAACTTTTTTATTCTTAAACCGAGCACATGTATTACCTATTCAAAAAATAAAATAGCTATCTTATATAAGAAAACAGCATAAATAATCATGTTCTTATAACAGAAGATTTAAAATGTTATTAAGTCTCTTTTCTGTTATAGTTTTTGATTATTAATTTTAAAAAGATGATGAGTTTTATATATGTTCAGGCATAATATTCATGAACTGATCATTTCATGGTACCTGGAATTTGCACCTTTTTTCTTAAGTGGGGCTCTTTTTTCCTAAGTTCCTTTAACTTTGATGCCAGTTTTACACAGATAAAAACTTTTCAGTTTTTATGAGCAGCTTATGTTATATGCACTACTTTGTAAGTATGGAATACAGCAGATTTAATTAAATTCATTCTTTGGTGCTGCCATGTTTACATAATACAATCTTCTACTCTAGACAAAATAGAAATGGATAACGCCAACCTTGACTTGTCTTTGTTTGAATTAAAATGGTGACAGTAGTGATGACAAGTGGACAGGGGCAATTTTATCTAGCTGTTTTGTCCTGATTAGAGAAATAAATTTTTAAGGATTTAATTGTTTTTTTCTTTTCTGTATATCCCAAATCCTGTGGCGTTGAGTTTTGGTCTCTGGAAGACCTTGTTTCACATCCTTAGTTCTTGTACACTAATCTTTTATGGACTCTGTTAGCATTAAATATGGTTCATAGGGATTTAAAGAGACTGTTGGTGAATGAAGCTGACAGAGGTGCCTATGCCTGGCCACTCAGTGCCCGTCTCTAGACAGCTGATGCCATGATGGAGAAGGAGGCACTCTGTCTGTCCTCAGCAGCCATCCCAGTTTTGTTCAGCATCACATTCCCTGTGTCTGGCACAGAGCTTGACAAGCAGTGTATGTTCGAAGAATGTGGTTTCTTGGAAAAGGAGATCACCGGAGTATGGCTTGAACAGCCGCCCGCCTTTTTAAAGGCAGCACAGTGGTAGCCCTCATTGACCTTGAGTCCTCACATCTGTGCATGCGTTGGTTCTCTGACCTAATTCTAGCATGGATAATGGCTTCCTCACTCATCACCTTTTCTGGAAGCACCCTCTCCTCACCGTGCCCGGTATGTTCACCTTCCCAGTGAGTCAGGGATCACCTGCAGCTCTATTCCTGGGTTATGGAATGATCATCTCTTGCCAAGGCGGGTGGAGTGGCTGCAAGATTATAAAACCATCCGTTTTCATCTATTTTCCCATTGCAATGTACCCTTTGTGGTATCCTGTTTATATTTTGGCTGGATTTCTATGACTGGCCTTGAACATGGAAGTAGAATTTGTTTTGTGTCCTTACAAAGGAATCCTTGGCAACAAACTATACCCCAGATCTGCAGCTATTCTCCTTTACCCCATTTTTGTCCTTTTCTACTTAAGCATTCTTGCTTCTTCACCCTTAAGTATCTCAGGTAACCTCATTTTGTAGGCTCTCTCTCTCTCTGAAGCCAGCCTCCCCCTTCACTTGACCTCTGATTGGTTGCTCTGCAATAAACACCACCGGGGAATTCAGTGTCTTTAGAAGACCTCTAAAACTTTGCATTATATTCCAATCCCATTTCCACATCAGATTAAATGAAAAAGAGCTATTGTTCTTCCCCCATACACCTTAGCTCTTAAAGCATCACATATAACCTACAATTCCCATAAGCCTCAACCGTGGGGCTTGCTTGTTAATAATGGTGTCACTGGTCCCTCAGAAGATACAAATATCAGTCAGGGCGGCACTGAGATTTTCTCCTTTGAAACCCTCCTAGGTGGTCAACTGAGATTTAGATTGGCCTTTGGGTACAAGTTCTCCATAGAATAGAGTGCCTATAACAAGCTAAGAATACTAGAATTAGTAGAAAAAGGACACAAAGATAAAAAATTGTTACTCCCTTTAGTTTCTTGTGTCTATGTTTAAGTCTCTCATAAGTTTGGGGAATTTTACTGCCATTATCTCTTCAAATATTTCTTGTGTTCCATTCTCTGGACCAAGAGAGTGATATATACACAGAAAAGAAATAAGGTCAGTCACTGGAACAAAATGAGTGAGGGGAGATTGATAAGACTGAAAAAGTGGGCCAGAATCGGGTCATACAATACCTTGCTGCCTAGTGGTAAAAATTTGGATTGTTTTTATTTTTATTATGGAAAATTCCAAATAGATACAAAACTATAGAGAATTGTATAACTCTCTCCCACATGTTCATGGACAGTTTCAATTACTGATTCGTGCTCAGATCATTTTCCTCTGTGCCTCTACAAACTCTCACCCAGCACACCAGACCATTTCATAGCAATATCCAGACATAGTTTTATTTATAAATATCACAGTGTCATTGAAAGACAGGAATTCTCTTAACCGCAATTCCATTATCACACCTAAAATATTAACAGCTGTTCTTTAATATCATCAGTGTTCCAGTTTTGCCTATTGTCTCAGTTTATCTCAAGTCTGTTTTTGTTTTGAATCTGGTTCCAAATGAGACTCATGCGCTGTAATTAGTTACTATGGCTCTCAAATTTCTCAACCACTTTTTTCCTCCTTGTAATTCTTTTGTTGAAGAAACTGAATTTTGCTGATTGCACCTCTGTGGTATCATTATATATATTTCTGTAATTTCAGTAAACTGGTAGTTAGATTGAGAGTCTTGAAGAGATTTGGGTTTAATTTGGCAGGCAGAATACTTGACAGATTTTGTGCACTTACTTCAAGAGGCACCTGTGGTCTAGCTGTGTCTCTCTGTGATTTTAGAGGTTGTAATGATCACTGTCTAAGTACATTAGCTCATTAGAGTCTGCAAAGGGGTGATATTAGAATATCACTCTTCTACCTTCCCTTCTTTTTTATTAGCTGTAATATTCCTGTACCAAGAACCTTAGCCTCATTAACCACTTAATGACTCTGAAGAATAATTTATATAGAAAAAAGCAGGATAAAATTTGATATTTTCCCTTCACTTACTAGTTTTTAAAGCAACTTTGCTCTTCATTATTCTCCAAGGATGGCAAATGGGCTTTCTTCTTTGTTTGCTTGAATATTATAAACCACACACTATGTATGATTTATGTGACTGCATTTATTATTCCTATCGATGCTCTAATTGTAACTTTGGGAATCTTTTCAAGTGGGCCTGTGAGTCCTTTGGAGAGGATCCTGACAGTATCTCTTGC